CCTTTGACAAATGTTACCCAAATTTCATATTTCTGATATGGGCTTCCTGTACCATGGACTTGTGTTAAAACGTATCTTGTTCTCTTTGCATCACTTCCTTTGTGTGAAATATCTGGTGATTCTGCCAGTCCCCCTGCATTCCTATTTTGAAATGACCACGCTGGGCATAGAAGTACATCTCCCCCAGTGTGGTCAGTTGTCTTCATGTGCCTGGAGAGCAGCCTGCCTGTCCTCCAATTATCAACCTTGTGCTGACACTCCCCCCTGACAGCCATTCACTGGGAAGTTTGGTGTACCGCACTCTCTCCACCTCCACCTCTTATGCAGAGAACACAGATTATGTGATCACTTATAAAAAAAGAAAAAGGTATCTATAAAGTGTGTGTGAGTATATATATATATATATATATATATTATTATATATATACACACACACAAAATGCAAAAATGTGTTGGCTTTCATTTCTTCTTTAAACTAAATGGGTTCTTTTTAAGGTATGGGTTCACATATACTTTAAGTATTTACTTAGCTGTGTAAGTGTGCCGTTTATCCACAACACTATTTCTATTCCATATGTCCAAATTAACTCTCTGTCTATCGGGACAAAGTGTCCTGTTCCTTGAATTGCACTGATGAAGATCCAGAATGGGGTTCTATTTCATAGAGAGTTGCCAAACAACCTTCACGGACTGTAATGTCCTTCCATGAACTAAGGTAATAGACAAGAACCTACAAAAAGTGCCAGTACTTGTTACATATCAGTGCTGCTATCTGCTAGTGAGTAATAAGAGTGGAGGCATTACTTTTCATTCAACACCTTTAACACTAAAAAAGCTTTTAATAACTATGAAATGGGAAAAAATGCCAAAATGCTATAAACTAAAATATAGTGGCCTGCCCTTTAAAGTCATTCTGTGCTGAGTGAATTGTGGTGACTGCCATTCCTAACCTTTCCTTCTGGCCATGCTAGTTGGTTGGCTGTCATACTGATCCTTCGGTTTCACTACCTGTCGATCGACAGCTCAGAACAAGTAGATCAGGAGTTCTGACTTAAGATGTATGTCAAGCCAAAAACGTCTTTTTTTTCTCTAGTCTTGAATAGAGTCGGGAAGGATTATAAATTGTTTTTTTGTGCACTTTTACTGTAATCCAGGACTTTGTTAGATTTAGCATTTAGAAAAATCTACTAAAGGGACACAGGCAGAAATAAAAAACTGTCAGGGAATCTAGCCATCAGCTACTTTGCTATTTTTGTGCTTTTGTTGCGGTGTCTCCCTCACTTTCTGTTATGTAAAACCTTGTTGGCAGGATAAGAAGCAAAGGTAAATCTCTCTAAGAGAGCCACTTATAGCAGTAAAAACCCAGCATAGGGTTCTATCCCTTCTCAGTCTACTGAAAACTCAGAAAAAAAATACACTTTAAGCCTTGATTCACACTATTGTGGTGGAACCCGCGTGTGATTCAGACAGGAATCGCACTGCATTCCTGTTCAAATGACATGCGATTCTTTGTAGTGCGATTTGAGACGTTCATTTTGTATGGTTCAAATTGCACTGCAAATCGCACCACACCTGCACGAAAGGTGAAGGCTCCTTTTTTTCTGCACTGGAATCAGAGCGCACACCCATGCGATCTGTGTCAGCCAATCACACTGCATTTTGCAAAGCTTTTTATGGGGTGCCGTTAGCTTAACATAGACACCAGCAGTGGTTCACATGAACGGAGTGCGATTGTGATGTTGTGCGGGAAACGCACAAGAATCACTGCAAATTCCGCACCAAATCAGTGGGAACCGCTCTAAAGAATAAACCCAACATTTCATATTCCTGACATGAGCCTGATGTACCATGTATGAAAAAGTATCTTGTTCTCTTTGTATTTCTTTCATTGTGTGAAATTCCTCAGTGTTCCTGCCAGTCTCTCTGTGTCCCTATTAAAAACTGACCATACTAGCCAAGAGAGCACTACATGGTCAGTTCTTTAGCACTCAGAACTCATCTTCCTCTCCTCCAATGATCAGACCTGTCCTGACACCCCCCCCTACTTCTGCACAACCATTCACTGGGAAGACCAGTGTCTGCTGCTGTTTCTCCTCCCCCAGCTCTTATGCAAGGGTTAAAAAAGGTAATTATAATGTTTTTTATATCTATACACAAATATTTTGCCTTTTAACTCTATTTTAAATTGCATGGCTTGCTTTACCAGGTGAGGTTTACAATAACTTTAACTCGCCAAAGCCATTGTTTCAGCATGACAGCCAGACACCCAGCACTTTCAGAGCAAGGTTAATGATGGAAGCCTACATATTTTTTCCCAGGTCTCTGCAACAACTCTTTTGTTGTTAAGACAATTGTTGTAAAATAAAGGGGAAGTCAAACATATAAATAGGATATGTTTTGACTTCTATCTTTGTTGTATCGCTTCATGGGAAATGTTTTAACACCACCTCGCTCTCTAGTACCTAACATGGAAAACTGCAGGGTCGAAAGGGGAGGGTGGCAATCAGGGACCGCACAGACTGGGCTCATCTGCCAGGAAATGTCTGTGATCTTATTTCAAACGTGTCTTGTAATTAATAATGGCATTGTCCACTTAAAGCACCTTTAGAGGAAGATGAACAGAAGGTGCCGAGGGAGGGGGGGAACTACTTGATGATGGCGAGGTGTCAAGTGGTGGAATTCCAACCAAATGAATTACTTTAGTGAAGCAAATTCCATTTGTCCTACAAAATGGAAATACCAAGACATCGCTTATTCAATTAGGCAGTGAAAAAGGTGCTACACACGTAAAGTCCTTTGCAAACAACCATATTCGATGCACATTCAATGCTTGTAATGTACATCTGTCACTAACTACAAGATACTAAGTGGGGTGAAGGGTGCTTCTGGGTAAAAGAGAGTTGGAGAGACCAAAGCATCACAACAGTTCCTTCAAGGGAATGTGTATCCAATAAACCAGCAAATACTCATATAGTAACACGTTAGGGGTTAGCAGTTCCAGTTCTTCAATAGTAAGCACTTTGACAAACAATTCATGCTTGAAATCTTTCCTTGACATGTAGAAAGAATAAATCTGGCCATAGATGGATCGAATCTCGGCCGGTTCAGCAGGGACTAGAAGATATTCAATCCATCTATGGGCAGGCTGGTTGTACCCAAGTCGATCTATCGGTCAGTTTGGGTACAACCAGCCTGTTGGATTTTTTCCATGCAATCACAGCTAGTGACTATAGCTGCTAGCAGTAATCACTGTGTTCTGCTGGCCTGGGAGATTCCCTGCAGACAGAACTCAATAGCGATGTAGGAGGAATTCCAGTCAGTGTTGATGGGGGAATTAAGCAATTTTATTTCCTTCCAACTGTGGCGGAAGGAAAGAAAATCAAATCCTCTATGGCTTGTTTTAATGAGGAGAACCTTCCTCTAGCTCTGTAATGGTTGAGTTTCTTTTTAAGGGTTGTACCATGCTGTAGGCACATCACCTGGCAGACAAGCTTCCAGCAGATAGGCCTCCCAGTCTCTTCTGACCTTGTTCAATCCCTGCTGCAAGGGTGCACCCTGTCTGGAACCTACTTATACCAATAAACACTGACTCCTGTCTCTAACTGCAAGACTGTCTATCCTTACAGGTGGTTGAGCCGTGGCTTTACTGCCCCTTGTCCATCACCTTAAGCTGCAACAGTGGCTGGACATGGTTGTACACATGCAAAGCATCATGGCCACAGAAAAATTGTACCCAATGGCACGTTCACTAAGCAGTACTACTGCCAAACATGACCTATTCAAGTGAATGAGGCAATGCCGTAACCGCTTTGACAACGCATGTAATGCATCTAGTGTTGGTGCGCAACAGTTCTTAGTTTTCAGGGTTAAAGTAAGCAGTGAAGAGGTGACATATCACGTCCCAGCCACAATTCAACCGCCTTATGAAAAATGGTTCACTGATGCCTTTCAGAGGGGCTGCTGCAAGTGTGGCTGATGTCCTGTTTAGGCCTAGGTTGTGAGGCCCCTGATTGCACAGGCACGACAGCCCATTCATTTGCGTTTCCTGCAGACAAAAGATGCACCCACCCTTTTCAAAACGCGACCGCAGGGAAATTGCATTGTGCTTTTGACCGTACGATTTCCCTGCGGTTCCCACACAAACACACTGAGGGTTGAGATGCGTGGGGGTGCCATTAAGAATGAATAGCTGCCCCACGTGTCTCAAGAGCAGTGCGATATGGCTACCGGTGGTTGCTGGTTTGGGAACAGCTGCGATTCCTGCACACTGTGTGAGCAGGCATGAACCTATCCTTAATAGATAGATGTCAATAATTTATGAAGCCTTTTTACTTGTTTCTGCTATTTTCACCAAGAACTGATATGTTCAATTCATTTCATTAGGGGATACTTGGAAAAATTGCTTCAAATATTTTTGATTGTCCTTAAATCTCATTGTGTATTTGCATCTTCTTCCTGATTCCTTGAAGCTTTAGGAGCTAGGATTCTTTCAGACAACATTTCCCCATCCTTAGCTGCCCTAGCTTTGAGTTTCCAAGTCCAACAGTAAAACACATTCCAAGTCCAACAGTAAAACAGTTTCTCAGTAACAAAAACCTTGCTGAATAGCTGACAATGAAGGCAAGTTGTAGATTCTGCCATTTGTCATTTGTCGCCTCTTTTGTGTGTACAACTGTTAAAGTGGACTTCTGAGGATAGAAGAGGATTGCTATTACGTTATGAAGATCCAGGGCTGTCGTAATTCTACACTGCTTGGTGAATTACTGATGTGGAAGGAGCATACATCCAGTAAAAGTCTAAAATCCTTCATTTCCCATCCTGTCAGTTTGTTCTATAACTGATGTGATTCTGGTTGTCATGTATAAAATACCCAACAAGTATCTGAAGATGTGTGAACAGTGCTTTCCACAGTTTGCTAATGTTTACTTTATAACTTGCCTATTCATATTATGGTAACCAATACAGTAAAAATCTTAAGCAGCCAGAAATTTAAAGTGTTACTAAACCCACAACAGTAAAATCTGTCTGGATATGCAGTAAAGCATGCTTGTTATACTCACTGTGGAACCTAAGGGGTTAATCCCTGCATTGTGTATAAAGCTCATTTGATCCTGAGTTCTCTGCTCCTCCTCTTGTACAAATGTCCACGTCTTATCTCCTGAAAAGACAGACTGAACCATAGACATTTTGCTCATGCTCAGTTTGGTGTGTATTGCTAGAGAGGTTTTTTTTTTATTCTTGGGAGAGTGCATGTGATCAGCACAGGGCCAGTCAGCACTGGTCAGACATAGTTCAGGTGTTTTACATCCTCCTACGTCAGAAAGAAAACTTCTCCTACAAGCTCTAGCTAGTTCTTGGCTGAACACTGATAGAAGTCACAAGATTGCTCTAACTTCTGATGAGAAAAGGTATTTAACAGTTTATATTTAGTACAATAATTGCATGTTCTGTGTACTACGGGAGACCAAATATAGTGAATGCAGGGCCCTGGGTTTAGTAACACTTTAATTTATTTGCTAAAAATCAGAATTTCATCAGTTGGAAGTTGAAACCAGACAAAACAGATAAATACACAACTGAAATACTGTATACATATACAGGAGCTGTTTTTCCTATTAAAGCATTTATATGTCTTCTGAGATTTTCAGCAGAAAGAGGTTGGTGCCCTAACTTTTTTAATTGATGTTATTCAATGCTCAAGTAGCTTGGTCACCTCCTCGCACACAGCCCATGATTGGACAACGAAGGAGCAACAGCAGACTGATGAGCTCATCCCTTTACTCAGTCTACTGCCCCTTTCACTCCCCAGTCTGAGCTTCGCTGTGCATAGGATTACAAGGGGGATACCAAGTCAAGTACATACATTTGTTGATGATGTAATGGTATAGCATACTGGACACACAAAAAGCTATACAGTTGCAAGAAAAAGTATGTGAACCCCTTGGGATTACTTGAAGTTTTGCATGAATTGGACATAAAATGTGCTCTGAACGTCATCTAAGTCACAACAATAGAAGAACACAGTCTGCTGAACATAATACTACACAAACATTAGATGTTGCCATGGTTTTATTGCACATAACATGTAAACATTCACAGTGCAGGGAGGAAAAAGTATGTGAACCTTTGGACTTCATAACTGGTTGACCCTCCTTTGGCAGCAATAACCTCAACCAAACGTTTCCTGTAGTTGCAGATCAGACCTGCACAACGATCTGGAGTCATTTTGGAGCACTCCTCTTCACAAAACTGTTTCAGTGTAGCAATATTCTTGGGATGTCTGGTGTGAATCGCTCTCTTAAGGTCATGCCACAGCATTTCAATGGGGTTGAGGTCAGGACTCTGACTGGGCCACTCCAGAAGGCGTATTCTGTGCTGTTGCAGCCATTGTTTTGTTGAATGACTTGTATGCTTTGGGTCATTGTCCTGTTGCATCACCCATCCTCTGCGGAGCTTCAGTTGGCGGACAGATGGTCGTACGTTTTCCTGCAAAATGTCTTGATAGACTCTGGAATTCATTTTCCCATCAATGACAACAATCCGTCCAGCCCTGAGGCAGCAAAGCAGCCCCAAACCATGATGCTCCCTCCGCCATGTTTCACAGTGGGGATGAGGTTTTGATGTTGGTGTGCTGTGCCTTTTTTTCTCCACACATAGTGTTGTGTGTTCTTCCCAAACAACTCAATCTTGGTTTCATCTGTCCACAGTATATTTTGCCAGTAGTGCTGTGGAACATCCAGGTGCTCTTTTGCAACCTTCAAACGTGCTGCAATCTTCTTTTTGGACAGCAATGGCTTCCTCCGGGTGTCCTCCCATGTACTCCATTCTTGTTTAATGTTTTCCTGATTGTAGATGTGTCAACAAAAATGTCAGCATGTGCCAGAAATTTCTGTAGGTCTTTAGCTGACACTCTGGGATTCTTCTTTACCTCATGCAGCATTCTGCGCTGTGCTCTTGCAGTCATTTTTACAGGACGACCACGCCTAGGGAGAGTAGCAACAGTGCTAAACTTTCTCCATTTGTAGACAGTCAGTCTTACCGTGGACACATGAACATCAAGGCTCAAGGAGATACTTTTGTAACCCTTTCCAGCTTCATGCAAGTCAACAATTCTTGATCGTAGGTCTTCTGAGAGCTCTTTTCTGCAAGGCATGGTTCACATCAGACAGTGCTTCTTGAAACCAGTAAACCCAAAACAGGTGTCAGCAACACATCCAATATCATCACACTGATTGGAGTCAAGGTTGGCTCACTCCTGGCTCCAATTAGCTCTGGGAGATGTCATTAAGCTAGGGCCTCACATACCTTTTTCCTCCCTGCACTGTGAATGTTTACATGTTATGTGCAATGAAACCATGGCAACATCTAATGTTTGTGTAGTATTATGTTCAGCAGACTGTGTTCTTCTATTGTTGTGACTTAGATGATGTTCAGAGCACATTTTATGCCCAATTCATGTAAAACTCCACGTAATCCCAAGGGGTTCACATACTTTTTCTTGCAACTGTATGTATATCATGTTGTTCAGGTGCCAGTCCACCCCTGCCATCTTTTCAGAAAAAGAGACATCTCCCCCCTTTTTCTTCATGTGCATCTATATGTCTCAGCTCAGTGAGGCCCAAGGCCAAGAATTAGTCAAAATCTACCCTTGCAATGTCTAGGGAACAGAACAAGAGGCAGTACTACTTAGCCCAACCCCCTAGTGGTGACCCATTTCTTCAGGATTCTCTGGCCTATGGGGGGGGTTGGTTCCTTGATGTCATCAGGTACTTTTGTATTCTTTTACCCTGTGATGAACTTTAAAGTATTAAAAAGTGTCAACATCACTGTTAGGCAAGTTAAAGTGTCAATATCACTGTTAGGCAAGTTGCAATTTTTAGAAGCAGAGTGCAACAATGAAAACCTCCATGTGTCCAAGGTTCTAAAAGCAAGGTAGATCTTGCAACATGACAATGTGTCAATATTATGCTCGGTTATGCTGTCTTCTAAAGCAGTAGAACATATAGGTCTGACAGAACCTGTGGCATGCCTAAATCTGTTGAGCTGCCTTGGTACCTAAGGTTAACGCAAACTGCTAGAGTGGATAAATATAGAGCACTTTTATTTATGGCCCGGGGGTGGATACTTTTTTGCCTCAGACCATGTTTGCAGCATTAGAGCTTGGCACGGTACTTTCCAACTGGCAGAACATACTATCATGGATAATATCTTTACGTTTGCCACCTTACCCCCCCCCCCCCCCCCCCTGCACCCAAAACCCTAGGGTGGAGCTGTTCTTTTATAAAACCTTGTCCAAGACATGGAGACGCTTTAGCTAACAGAACCTTTCTTTTTCCATATGTCAAGTAGCAACTCCAGATCCAAAAGGTCAAGTAGACACAGAGGTGGAAGTCAAGAAATCACAGCACTAGAGAAAAGTAATAATAACTGGAGTTTGTTATGAGTGTGAAGGAGCCTGATACATTACACTCACATAATATAGCGTTACCTAGTTACCGTTCCACCTTGGTCGATGTGCATTATGTTCGCAAAAACTAACACGAACAAATGGTCTTTTGTCATGTTGGGCAGATCTCACACACATTTAATATAGACATTCCCATTACTCCTGCCAGGAGTTTTAAGTCATTTTATGAAGTGGTACTGCATTTGGACTTGAATTATGGAATGAGCTCGTGAATGTTCTGCTGACAGAATGGAAAATTTAAAGTCATGGCAGCCAGAACGCCCTCGTTTCTAAAGGGCTGCGTATAATACAGTAAAACATACCTTACGGCCCATAAAATCTGTCTATACCTATTAGCCCTTTGAGGTTGAAAATATATATTGTTGATGGTTTACACTTTTTCCCCTCTGTTCAGACATAGCGTTTTATTCATGTTTGTGTTTCGGGAAATGCCGTCAGCTGACTAGTACCAAGAACACGTGGACGCCACACAGGTTCCACTGAGTGTGGACATTTCCAAGCTTGCTGTTAGATGAAACAGTGATTTTACTTATAAGAGGCTAAAATGTTGTCCACCTACTCAACTGTAGTGTTGATGTCCTTATAAAACACCTAAGCAGATGACAGTTTACCAGCAGTAAAACCCTTAAATGTAATTGAGATAGAAAATGACTACACATATTTTTTTCCATGGTCTACCATGTATGGCCAAAAGGGCTATCATGTTTATACACTATATGACCAAAAGTATAAGACAAACCTCCAAATTACTGACTTCAGGTATTTCCAATGAAGGGGACTGTTAATACTACAGCATACAAAGACATTTTAAACATTTGTTTGCTTCCAACTTTGTGGAAGCAAACAATTTCTGCTCCAGCAGGATTGATCCCCTGTACACATAGCCAGCTCTAGAAATAAATGGTTTTATGAGTTTGGCGTGGAGGAATCTCAAGCTACTGGACATCTTGGGGTTGGAAAATCAGGACTTTTTCTCCAACATCAGTACTTGACCTCAGAAATGTTCTTTTGGCTAAATAGGTACACTCCAAAATCTTGTATAGAGCCTTCCTAGAAGAATGGAGTGTGCTATGCTATTGCCACAAAGAGAAGGGTGGGGGGAAACAACTCCATATTAATACTCATGGTTTGGGAATGGGATATCCAACACAGGTGTGATGGTCAGGCCTAATAGTATATCTATCATATTGTCATTTGGGAAAATCGGGTCCGCCTGTCTGTTTTTCACATGGACCAGGTTAGACCATCCATTGTCCTCTATGGAGTGGTGGATGTAATGGACAATGTCCGTTTACACCCATCTGCATCCAATATGATCAGATTTGCTAAAAACAGACTGATGGGGATCTGTTCTCCATCTGTATAACGGATCGCATGACGATCGGATGTAAACAGAAAGGTGGTCCTTTTACATTCAACTGCCCACAGAGGACAGCTGTTAGCTCTGCATAAGTGGAATGGACATGGACCTTTCATCCTCCTGCTCAGCAGTGATCAGCAGATAGATCCCCCACTGAGCAGGGATCTGATGGTGGAGTCCACCAGTGTGAAAGGGGTCTAACTCCTAAGAATTGTTGTGAATTGATCAGCAGCCAGTGTAGGAGGTGGCACTGGATACGACATTGCTGATAAAACTCCAAATTCTCAAACACTTGGAAAATACTTGGTTAGGCTGCTCCTAATTCGGAGGTGCCAAAGGAAAACTACATGTACCCACAAGAAAATAAATAATATATTGTAGCTCCAAATGAAGAGTTGTAGAAGTTTCAGTTTGAAACCTGATACTTTATTTGGAGTCAAAAAGCCGCCAACACATTTCAGGGGTTGAAGAATCAGCCCTCCTCAGGGTTTTG